TCTGTGAAAGCTGCAAGTACTTTGTTCCATCATCTGTGGAGTCTACAGCATCCTGGGTGTCTTGTGTCCTAACCCTTGCTCCCAAAGTTTTGCAATAAAAGTTCATCAGCATCATATGATCGGTTTTATTGGTCGCCACTGGAGGGTTGGCAAGTGCTTTTGGGTCAGCAATTCCACAGAAACACTAGACAGACCAGTATCACTTCTCCCTCCCTTTTAGATTGTAAGCCCTCAGGGGCAGGGCCCTCCTTACCTTCTTGTCTTGAATTGTATTGTGATCGTAATGTCTTCCTTATATTGTAAAGCGCTGCGCAAACTGTTGGCGCTATATAAATCCTATGTAATAATAATAATCTATCCAGCACCTCCTTCGGGGGTGAGCACTACAGGAGCAAATAAGATGAATGTATTGTTAAGGTTTACATTCAAGTTAATTTTAGTTTATACTTGATTGGAGGCCAGCAGTCACTTTTACCAGCTGTAGTCACTGCACACTATTACCAGATGTATGTCTGGGTGCACTACAGTTAGGGAAATGTAGATGAAGAAGCTTTGATCAAGGCACACACAGGACTTATTAGCAGGAGAGTTTCAGCAAACAACGACCATTTACTGTTTATCCAACGTTTTATTGTATCCGAAGCTTCGCCCCACCGGGCCGGACACCTGTTGTTTGCTGCAGCTCTGCTGCTCATAAATCCTGCATGTACTTCAATCAATGCTTTTTATATATTGTATTCTTTCAGGTTTTGTTTTTTAGATATCTTAGTTTCTATTCTGTGTTGACAGGGACTTTTTTATGGAGCGAATAAAGTGCAGCATTTTGCTGACAATCTGTTCCGCTAGCTGCCTTTTGTTTGCACCACACTGCTGCATCAAAACCACCTCACACTATTTCCTATAGTAAAAACAAAAGCTAAGCCTAGACCTGACAAACAAAAAAAAATCCAAAATGGCAGCCAGGCACAAATGCAGAAGTGGGGCAATAAACTCCAACAAAGCAGGGGTAGGGCTGCACACTGTAGAAGCAAGGCAATTTAGGCAATTTATTGGCCCCAATAGAAGACTAATCCACGCAGAGGAGGGAATTTACTGGCTCCCAAAGTCTGCATCATTCTCCTTTTCCCAAGCACAGAGCAGCCAGGATTAGTCTAGCATTGCTGGTGTGCTCTCTTCCTTCTTCTCCACCATTGATGGCTTCCCAGGAGGAGTTGGTGTAATTATTCATGCATTCCATGGGAAGGCTGGCAATGCCAAAGAGAGGAAAGAAGTTGAGCACTGAAGGGGGTGTGATTCAGTGAGGGTGAGCACTTGAAAGGAAGTCAGTTATGAGTGTCAGTGGATGCATATTGTCAGTTGCTGGAATCAGTGGGATTCATATTGTCTGTCTCTGGTATTAGTGGGATTCGTATTGTCAGTTGTGGGGTTCAGTGTATTCTCTGGTATCTCTGGGATTCGTATTTTGTCAGTTCCGGGTATTAGTGGTTGCATGCTGTCAGTCTCGTATCTGTGGGATTCGTATTGTCAGTCCCTGGTATCAATGGAGGCATACTGTCAGTCTCCGGTATCTGTGAGATTCGTATTGTCAGTTCCGGGTATTAGTGGTTGCATGCTGTCAGTCTCGTTGTCACGTACCGTGGTGCGGGCCCGAAGTGATAAGGAGGACCTCCCTTGCGGTTCCGTCTGTGGAACCCTGAAGTGTAACAGGGGGCACAGGCAAGAGCAGCACGGGCGCCGGTATGAAATCCTGGGTGCCGCTGAGCGGAATCAAGCACTGTGGGAAACAAGGCAAGTTAGGTTAACAACCAAGGAGGCAATACTAGTAGCCAGCAGGATCCAGCGAGTGGTCAGAGACAAGCCAAGGTCAGAAGCCAGAGAGGGGGAGTATAGCCAAATCAGAATCCAGAGAATAGTCAAGGACAAGCCGGGGTCAGAAGCCAGGTAAATACTAAGAGCAAGAGCAGGATCCAGAGAATAGTCAGGTACAAGCCAGGGGTCAAATATAATGCAGAACACAGCAGGGAACAGAACAGACCTGAAGCACACAGGCTGAAGAGCACTCAGCAATGACTGGGAGTGCTGTGCCTCCTTTTATAGCCCTAGTGACATCACTGGGCGGCGTCCTGACGCACAGGGGCGTGTCCCACCAGCCCGTCGCGTCACAGGTGGGCGTGCCCTGCCGGGCCTCCTCGTCACTGGTGGGCGTGCCCCGCCGGGCCGCCTTGTCACCGGGTGCCGTGTCCCTGCATCAGACGGCCCAGCCAGGACCGGACCGCGGCTCGAGTCCCGACACTCGTATCTGTGGGATTCGGATTGTCAGTCCCTGGTATCAATGGAGGCATACTGTCAGTCTCTGGTATCTGTGAGATTTGTATTGCCATTCCCAGGTATTAGTGGATGCATATTGCCAGTCTCTGGCATCTATGGGATTCATATTGTCAGTCCTGGGTATTACTGAGGTGTCTCTGGTATCTGTGAGATTTGTATGGTCAATCCCTGGTATCAGTTACATGCATACTGTCAGTCTCTAGTATCAGTGATATTTGTATTGTCAGTCCTGGGTATCATTGGGTGTATTTTGCATTTCTGGTATAAGTCTCTTGGACAAAATGGATATACATTTAAAAAAACAACAATGTTTCTTTTCCCTCTGTAACCTCTATCAGCAAATTTAATGTGGGAGAAAATTGTACTTCTCATTTCAGTTTGTTGAGTCACTGTGCATGAAGCATGGCCTGACTAACATAAAGGAATTTGTTTTCATAATGTATTAACCAGCGTAAAGTCAATGTGTATAGGCTAGCTTCACAGTTACAAGTCATCACATGTAATGTAGATCATAGGTTCCAAGCAGTGGTATGTGTGCACCCCATGGGCTAATTTTAAAAGATCTAGGGGTGTGTCTGCTTCTTAAAGATACAATAACACTATATATACACAATGTATGGGCAGCGGCTTTGTTTTCTTCAAAATACAAAAACCGTGTTACACTTTTTACACATTTGTGTGCATTTTGTACACCTTACCATTCAATTCCATATTTTGTGGTGAGAACACTGCTAGCAACGGTTTAACAAACCACACTAATGCATGAAGTTGAGACATTTTCATTCGGAAGAATGGTACCTAACTCAACAGGCATTGTACATGTGTTTCTGCATTTAAATAAGCTTTCGTTAAAGATTTTTTAATACAAAAAACATATCTCAGCACAACTGAATGATTCAGCATCTGTAGAAGATGTTATTACCGACAAGAGTGTTCATTCAAAGTGGTTTGGGAACTCTTGGCTATGGCATCTGCCCACAGCCTACTGTCTAACACAGGGAGGCAGACCTGATGGGGAACTAGTCTCTCAGAGTTCCCCTTCAGTCTCTGTCCTTTGTCAGCATCATTGGTTGCTATAAGGCTGCTGGCTATGCAGCCGACAGCACCTTAGTAACCATTGATTCATCCCCTTCCCCATTCAGCTGCCTGCAGGGGATGTCATTACTATAAGAGTACATTTGTAAGCATGTGAAAAGTTTGGAGATTAACAAGGGATAGACTTCCAATGTAGTTTCAAATATAAGCTGTTTTCTGGTGGATATGTTTGCGAGATATTTCACAGTAAAAAGCCATTTATTTGAAAAGTTCCAAAATTCTTTTTTTTTTTTGTCTGTAGGCATGGTGAAAGTTGAAAGGGAGGGAGAGCAGAAAGGGAAAAGCAAGGAGAAGTGGCTGTTTAACTGGTGTTTTATTTCAAACTCTGTGCCAAGCAATCCAGCAAGAATGAATAATGGCGTTAGAAGCAATCTCTGGTGGCAATGGATCTTTGTGCACATGGATTATATAGAGGAGGTTTAGGTCCATTATGGTATTTTGCATCAAGTCAGAGTCTGTATAGATGTTTGTACTGTGAATCCAGTCAGAAAGATATCTAGCATTAGCATCTAGGTTGTATGGTTCTAGGTCAAGAAGGTTAAGCCCTCCATTTTTCATTGACTGTTGCATAATATGAAGACTGATTTTGACATGCCTTTCAGCCCACATGAATCTCCAGAGTGCCTGGTTTAAATAGTGGAGGTCTGATTGTTTTAGTGTAAGTGGCAATGTTTAAATGGTATATTATATTTTGGGGAATATCACCATTTAGATTAAACTAACTCTGCCCACCATGTATGTTGAGTTTAAGTGATACCATTGGGAGAGCTGGTCAGTGAGAACTAATCTCTCTACATTTTATAGGTAGTTCACAGTCCCTACCTCTTCTTATTTTGGGTATATGATTAATAGCTATGTATTTGAGTTGCATGCAAACTTGGTTTCAAATATCTTTGACTGAAATAAATTGCACAGTAGTGGTATAGAATACAATGCACGTCATTGGAACATGTTACAGGCTACTAAACTAAACCTGCTGTTGTACAATGTTCTTAAAGCGGGACTAAATTTAAAAGTAAACAAATTGTGAGCAGGCCGAATCTTGACTGCAGAAGAGACATTCTATGCAAACGTCCCTGCCTCTTTAGAATGTACACTGAGCTGAGCATCATCACCCTAAGCTAAGGTAAAGGCTTTTTTAGCGCAGCTCAGCGTACCTTTCAGCACACCTTGGTGCAAGGATAAATTAATTACTGTGCATATGCATGGGAGTTACATCATTCCGCACCAGCCCATCAAGACTGCTGAGAACTTGAACCCAGAAGAAGCCAGAGAGTAGTCAGCACTGGTGAGGGAGCCTGTGAACGTTGCATTACTGGAGAGGAGTATGAATGAGGAGGAGAGCTATGCAAGCTCAAACAGCCGTCAGTACCAGAGGAGGGTCTCCAGACCTTTTTAAGCATCAGTTTCAGCTCGTATGGCTCACCACTAATTATTGGGAAGACAAAATGTGCAGTTTTTTAGGTGGAATATTTTTAAATACATTTTGTTATACTGACACAGCTAAAATATGTTTTCTGTAAAAAGTTCAGAAGGATAACAAATATGTTTCAATCCATGTCTATTATTACTTACAGGATTTTTGCAGGCATGTAGAGCGCTTATGATTACATCCATATGTCTGGGATTCTTTGGACTCATATGTGCATTAGCTGGCATGAAATGTACAAGGATTGGTGGGAATAACCAAACCAAAGCTAAAATTGTCTGTTTAGCTGGAATCCTTTCCATACTTTCAGGTAAGATCCAATCCAGTGTGCCCATGACAGAGCTGGAATCATTGCAAGCATTTAGATTACCAATCAGCACTTGTCTTAATGTAAGACCAAACATTAAATGGGTAGCTCATTTTTGTTTAAACTGTGAATAAATGAGAGCCAGAAAACATGCATGTATTGTTCAGCATGGAGCCAGCAAACAACTGGGTCACACAGCAACAGCTGCCATACTGTTTAAAGCAATTAGGTTTGGTAACAAGCAGAATAGCAATTTAATGAAAAGAGTAAAAAATAAAAAAATAAAGTTAAAAAAATATTTTTTTAAAATATAAATAAATGTTAAATCTAAAAAAAAATAAAAAATAAATAAAAAAACTACACAATTGGGCAAAACTAGCAGTGACAACTAGCTCCGCCCAACTGTTTCCTATTGGCCAGTACCTGCTAGAGTCTTCTAGCAGGTCCCGGCCAATGAATAACAACTGGGTAGAGTCGGCTGTGAAGTCATGGCCGGCTATGCCCAGTTGTCATTGTTTAATGACAGTTCAGCATCTCCAGGTCATTTGGGGACGCTGATCTGTCATTACAACTGGGCGGAGCCAGACGTGAGATCACGGCTGGCTCTGCCCAGATGTCATTTGTGAGGCCTTTGGCCGGCCGTTCGCCCAGCTTCGGCAGTCACTTCGGCTCAGTCGAGCCGAAGCATTTGCCTTCAGCTCGGCTGAGCCGCTCGGCCGCCTTAGGCAGCTGTATGGGCTGTGGTGAGTAGCATGTACAGCAGATGCTTGGGCTGATCCTTCGGCTAGCTTTGTGAATAGACCCCTTAGTATCTCAAGCCCCTGTAAATAAAAAAACATAACCCTTTAGTGTCACCCCTAGTTTTAAAAAGATAAACTGTTTTTTTTTTTTTTTAAATGTACAAAAATAAAAAATAAATAAAAAGTAAAGAAACATTTTAAAATATGTTTAATCAAAAACAATTATAAGAAAATAAATAGGAGGCTATTAAAGTTAGGGGACAACCATACCAGATTCTAAAATTGTTCCACACTAAAATTGTATTTCAATCCTGTATTTTGTGACCTATAACTTCCAAAATGAACTGAAATCCTGGACCTATGATATACCTTATAAATCAGGACAAATAAAAGGATTTATCATGAATTACTTTCTGTTAGCTACACTAACTATGCAGGGGTGTATCTACCACAAGGCAAACTAGGCATTTGCCTAGGGTGCCACTTTCCAGGGAGGCTGTCTCAAACCAATGGGCCGGACTTACCTTTGGGCATACTGGGAACTTGCCCAGTGGGCCGAGGCCGTCACACCATAGACCCTGCACAGCTCTCCTGAGACTCTGTGTGCGCTGTATCCAGTGACTGACAGGTTGCACAAAATTTCCTAAACAGGATGGGGTGGGCCAAATTTAGACTGAGGGGGTGCCCAAGTTTAGTCTTGCCTAGGGCAGTACAAAACCAAAATACACCACTGTAACTATGTACACATTATTATTGCCAAAACTGTGACAAATTTAGTTTTTTTGCATTTTTTAAAATATAAAATTAAGAATTTGTATATCCTGATGTCACAAAAAATGAAAGCCCATTTTGTCATTTAAAAACCAGTGTGTAATATATGTAGGTGCAATGAATGAGGAAGATGAAAATTATGGTTAAAAAAACACATAGCAAAAATAGCGACTCACTTAAACCTTCCTTCCAGGCGCCAATGTCACTAATCTCATGTGTTTCAGGTACTTGCTCCTTGGCTGGTTGCTCTCTGTATGCTCATAAAACCACTTCTGAATACTTTGATCCAACCATTGTAACAGCAAAGTAAGTCCTGTTTTCCTGGCACACAATAGAAACAGATCAGAAAAGTATAAGTGTCCTGTGTCTAATACATACTTTGGGGGGCATTTATCAAAACTGGAGCAGACACAATCTGGAACAGATTTGCACTGCAACCAATCAGCTTCTCTGTATTATTTTCAAATCTTACCTGAACAAACTGACGAGAGATGCTGATTGGTTGCCATAGGCAACTGCTCCAGTTGTGATAAATTCCCCTCATTATGTGTAACTATACATTTTGTGTCCATATCGAAGAAATCATGTACTGAGAGAAATACATATGTAAGCTACAACTGTGCACATCCTTCTGAAAACTCTAGTTGCCCTGTTGGCTGTGACTTCAATAATTTAAGACATGAAACTAACACAAAACAAGTGAAGGTCAGTGACTCAAAACAAGCATGCAGCCAGTAAAGTCACAATGATGTCAGCACTCCTGACCTGCATACTTGTTCTGGGCAGTGAATTCAGAAGTATTGAAGCCATTGATGTTGAATTGGTACATTTCTCAAGAAACTCAAAATTATAGCTAATTTGCCTACAAATGTCAGGCGGTCATAATAATCTGGCCACTCAGTGTATATTCCCTTCAATTAGGGCCGTCCCTATAATTAGGCGGCCTTAGGCTGTTGCCTCAGGTGGCATCTCTTTTGGTCACGTGAGGGGATGGCAGGCAGAGCAGCACGGCCTCTCTGCTGCACAATGGGCCTGCTATCCACTTTCCGGCCTGAGTGTCCTATACACATCTCCCCGCCCAGCTTTTAGCAACCTGTGACACAATGGATGGCGCCTCGCTCAGCTCCTAGCAACCAGTGACGTTAGTTGCCAGTTGATGCAGAGGCCAAAATACTATGTAACAACTACACATTGGCTTTTCAGGATTTTCTTTATGTATTTTAGAAGATTACACTTAATTTATTTTAAAACAAGGGGAATTTACTTTTCTTGTGGTCAACCCTAATTCTAATTTAACTCACAAAGTGGAATGATAATGTACAGCCTGTTATATTCCATTGCAATCAATCAGACTTTAGTTTACTAAAAGATGAGTTCTGATTCCTTGTTATGGGTTGCTGCAATGAATGTCTGATGATAATCTGCATTGCCTCTAGCACACAATTCAATGTTATTTGTCATTTTCAAGTGCTCATCTAAAAATCAAAGAAAATGGTTGTTACATGCCCCTGTTCATCTAAACAGGTTCTGGAACATTCCTTTAATGACAATTCCCGATTTCTTACTGCAGGTATGAGCTGGGGACAGCTCTGTTTGTTGGGTGGGCTGGATCAGTTCTTTGCTTGGTTGGAGGATCCATTTTTTGCTTTACATTTCCATTTGGCAATATCATCCAAAGGTAAGATGTAAAGAGCTTATTAAAAAAAATAATACACAGTGTAGCCCCCATAGAAATGAATGTCAATGTATCCTGTACAGATCTGGCTTCAGTAAAGTGAATTCTGATTGGTTTCTGTGGGTCACTGCACTTTCTTCTTTGAGCTTTGTTACTGGCACTAGTTACTCATGTACAAATAGTTAACCATGATACAAATGAAGATCACCAGCACTCAATGAATACTCATAAATTCTTGATTGTATTTATTTGAAGAGGTGCGTCACGTGCAACCACCAACATTTCGAGGCCACGCAGGGTCCCTTTATCAGGGTGACATAGTGACAAAGGTGTATAGCAAATATACTTGTATATACATATATATGTTTGCCCTTTAATAAACTGCATTTGACTTGACTTACCTGGACTACAGTGGAGTGTCCTTGTTACAATATATATGTAGAGGAATACTACCAAGACCCTCCCCATGACGTAACTGTGACATCAGAGCCCGCCATTATTTAAAAATAACAGTATTCAAAACATTATCCACATACAAGAATAGTTATAAAGAACTGTAGTCAAAAGAATGTTAATCAATTACTCTTCCTCCCCCTAGATGCTACAATGACTGAAAAGTAAAATATACCTCATCAGGATTGCCTATATTCTGACAGGCAGGAAAGTTGAGCTGCTGTACCAGTGGCTGCGTCATCGGTCGTCCTGGCAACCTAGGGGTGTGATATTTTAATCAGTGGACCCTGTTTCTATTTTGTGGTAATATGTGGGAGTTGGCAAAGAAAACTAAGGAAATAAAAATATATGTATTCAAATGTGATACCAAATGAAATCCCTAGCTGTCCCCAAAAATGTATAATACATTGGGGTATCTAAAAGATATAAAGTGCCAAAAACAAACACTTGGTGACTTTAACGGTTCAGGAAGAAAAAGGCCTGGGAACTCAAGTGGTTAAAGGGAAAATAATAGAAGTACTGGCAGGATAAACCGGTAATAAAACTGTGTTGCAGGGGTTTAGAAAAACAGCTGTGTTAATGCTATTGAAAGAAGGAGTCATAAATGTAATTTGTTCTAACCCAATTTAGGTATAAGGAAATAAATAAATGTATCCATATATCTACAGGGGTGTGGAATTTGTATTGCCCGACGCAGTTCCGGGCGCTGGGCAGGTGGTTTCTTCAGTAAGTTAGCCCTGCTGCAGGCAAGTAGCAGGGCTGAATTATTTATTTTTTAACCTGAACAAAGCAGTGATAGAGCCGGGGGGTGTGGAGCGGTGACAGGCTCTGCCTCCGGCCTCCGCCTCTGTCCCCGGCTGCTGCCTCTCTTCCTGCCTGCTGGCTCCCTCCCTGCTGTGGTCTTCAGGATACCCCGCTCTTCTGGGGGACCCGGGACCACGGCAAATTAGATCTGGTATGAACACTGATACAGGATCGCTCACAGCCTTCCTGTCACAGGAGAACTAGCACAGTACTTTGCTAGAACTCCTGTATTGGAGGTGACAGGTTCAATAAAGAGAACCTGTCACCTCCAAATGCTATCACATAGAGGATTTTTAGCACCTGTGTGATAGAAATAAAGTTAGCAATAAAGTGAAAACAATAGTCAAAAAAAGGTGAAAAATAATAAAATAAATAAAAATTCAAAATGTAATTAAAAAGGTGATTAAAGTAAAAAATCAATTATGCTCTGGTAAATATATCTCTTCCGGTTGCATACAAAAGAATAACAGCCTTTGATTATGTTTCCTTCTAGGTCAGGGTATGGATATGCCACAGCTTCATCCAATTCCTTCTATTCCAAGACAAAAACAAAAGAGCCGTCTAAACTAATGCATCATGATGAATTATCACCAACGTATAATAAAAACTCTTATGTGTAAGATATAGAAGCTGGCACCTACAGCAATACATGGTTCTAGAAAACACTAATAATAAAGAGAATGTACATCTGGGTTTATTTACTCCGGTAGATAATACATTTTAGACGTCACTTCTTTTTATTAAAAAAGATTATGTGGAACGTGGTCTGGTTTACTTGCCTGTCCATTCTTTAGCTGATAATGTTTCATTAGAGGAATAGTTCAGTATTGACCATAAAGAACGTTTGGTCATTGACTTAAACAAAAGGTAAGTGGATGGAGCAGCAGTGAAACTCCCAATGTAAACGTTGTTGTTGTAATACAGTGTTTTCTACTAACAGAAAAGTATATCAATTCACTATAGACATCAATAGGGACGGCTTTTTTTATTACAAGAGTGCGGAAAGGTGATAACATTCCATTCCAAAAATGTCTGCATTAGAAGTAGAACTGAAAACAGTGTCATAAGAACAAAGCAACAGGGCGATCAGGAATAAAAGAATTGCTTTTTATATATAAAGCCCAAAAATATTCCTTTGTACCTGATCATACTATTGATCTGTTTTTTCAGCCCTCCAATTATCAGTTTATTTCAGGTCCTCGTTCATACCATTAGGTATTATGCGTGCTACCACGCAGGCTCACATCACTCTACAATTGCATGAAAACTAGTAACTATTACCATATATGAAGCTCTTCACATCAGTGCATTATATTAGAGGGAGCTGCGTTGTGTTTTTATAAAGTCCTATTTGCTGTGACTTTTGGGAAAAAAACACGCATTACATTAAAGTCAATAGAAACAAAATGCACTAAAAGTACAATATGTGAATGTGTTTTTCAAGTAACATGTCCGTATTCCCTATGTGCCTGCAGGAAGAATGCATGGACGTAAACTCTACATAAGATGCATGCGTATGGCATTACATTGTAAAGCAACACATTAAAAATGCATTATGCGCTTTAAAGAAAACACATGTACTAGGAGCTGCCCAAAACCCACACTCACTTTACAAAGTTATAACACCAAATATCAAAAAATCATTTTAAGATTCAGTGTCACTCAAGTCAGTTTTCTACATTGAATCCAGAGACAGTTGAAGATGATTGGCCTCTTCAATCTCCTGTGACCGGGGAAGAACAATTTTCATTTGTCTCTGCTGCTGTGCTTATCCGTTAAGAAAAAGGAGGTGTCTCAGAGTACTAATGTATAAACAGCATATACCGCTGTCATTAAGGAATCTAGTCAACACCCACATTATGCTGCACTCCAGGACCACAGTTTTGCCTGGCTGGAATTGCATCATTCGAATACAGAAAAAGTCTGCCCAGTGATGTCCAAACAGTGGAAGATGTTTTCAGTATTAATAACATACATCAACTCTGGTAGTGAAGTCCCTTAAAAGAGAACTATGAGGCAGGTGTTTTTCCCCATAGTTCTCTTTAGGGTCACGGGAGGACATATAGTAACCTCCTGTGACCCATAACTCAGTATATAGCGAACTATTGCCCACGATATACTAAGAGCGCAGCAGCCGATATGGATCAGAATACTGTTTAGATACGCCCAGCCGCGTGAGTGACAGCTGGCAGAGAGGCACTGCCAGCTGTGCCCGCCCCCTCCCTCGTTCATTCCTCCACTCAGCGCTGGAGGATCGGAGAGGGGAGGCCGAATCCCTGTGGGGAGCAGTGACTGTGTGCAGGGAGACTATAGGGAAGTGAGCGGATCGGTGCATGTTTCTGCTGACTTCCCGATGGATACAGCCAACCTGTGACAGCTTCTTTGTCATCAGTCGGCTCTAACTATGAGGATGAGTGGAAATCACACCTCATAGTTCTCCTTTAATGCATTTTACACTGTAGTGCTTAACCAATATGCCTCATGATTAGGCATGACTACATTATGGAATACATCAAGGCATTCCACTATCACATTCCACTATTTTAACTTCTACACATACACATCTCACATATAACTATACATACGCTAGATATGCTACCTTATATCCATTTACTAATAATAGATTATTCATGACTATTTATTCATTATTACCTCAACTCCTTTTTATTCCTATATGTCTGTTATATTTTATATACAAAAACACAGTCCCAATCTAATTTGGCCTCTCATTGAGGGCAGCTAACCATTTTTTCTACACTTCTAATGTTTGTCTATAAATAGCCACAGTACTAGATTATCACTAGGCTGATGAAGGGAATAAGCATTCCTGAAATGCATTCCACTCACAGTGCCTTGAACCTGCATGCATGAGCTAGGTGATGGAACTCACCACAAGACAAGGGGTGAGAAGAAATGGAAGGTTGATTACAGGCGGGTGTTCCATACACTGAACCACAGGCTTCATTCAAAGAGGATCATCCTCCTGCTCACTCATGCTTGGACTTGAGGTTACCCGATACCAGACTTACCTTGTTTGTTTTAGAAAATAAAAAAATGGCTATCCTATGGCAGTGTGTGTTCTCTGTTTATGTCTTTCAGACTCCACTATGACTATCATCTGGTATATGTTATTGATCTCCAATAAATCCTCTGTTGTTTGGACCAGGGCCTTTTCTTTATTTGAACAGTGTACTACTTTGATGTCAGTCTTACCACCAATTGCCCTGATTTGCTGGTGTTCTTATGATTAACATGGACCAGGCAAGGAACCAAATCTGGTCCTAATGAACAGTTTGGACACAATTGGGCCCTTAGTTTAGGATGTATACATTTATAGACTAGATTGGACAAGTCTGCCTTATAACCTTTACCACTGATCTATACGAATTTGATCAGATTATTATATTGACCTGAGGACTTCTCTTGGAGCTAGGAACACAAGTACAGACAGAGGGAGAACACAGAAGCAGAAGTGAATCTTTAGGCAAGACTGTACTTACCATAATGGCCATGGGAAGCAGCAAACCTCCAAATTCACAAGTGGTTATATCCTTTTTCTTATTCTGTTTTGTCCTATTTTGATTTTTTTTTTTACTTTGTTGGTGGTTCACCAATTTGTTAAATCTCTGACACTTAGGGGAGGAGTAATAGTACATGTTGCAGTTTAAGAAATAGTTGTATTTCAATTCCTTTTCCCATTAGATCAGCATCTTCCCATGGATGGCCGGGCTGGTGGTGGCTTTACATGCTTAGCAAAGGAAGTGATCTGTGATCTTGGCCTCTGGAAATACTTATTTACATCTATTGTGCCTGGAAAATATGAATGTAAGGTCTATGTCCACTATGATGTCTTTGGAAGTGTCTGAGGTATATACTTTGACACTCATCCTAGTCCTAACAGATAACCAGCAATGTGAGCCCCTTATACCTAATCCCTCCCAACACATAACCAACTCCGATAACAATGTAAACTTCCTAATCCTTGAACTTAAAAATAACCTAAGCTAAAGTAATTCCTAACACTAAACTAACCCTCCTATGTAGTATACTCACCTTATCCCACATAAGGACAACTGCATCCACACCAAGCAAGTTCCACGCTGAACACTACCTGTGCCCATCTGCAGGCACCGAGAATATTAGATCTGGGATTTGGCACATGTAAAAAGGTGAACTAGGATATCCATAAAGAACAGGTCTGAGTTTTATCTAATCCATAGTTAAGGCGAAGTCTGTCAGAGACGTTCGTTGAAATAGATTCGCTTCTTCACTCCTTGGCACTTTGCGGGATCTTGTTGGAAGGATCATGACATTATGCTCTGCAGTACTGAAGCCAGGGGTAAGGCAGGAATATTTATTAACTTTTTTTCCCTGCAGGCATTTTTTTTTGTGTTTAATGTCATGCTGCTATTTATTCTGGTGCAGGGGACCCTGATATATTAAAGCTGAACTCCAGTGGAAAAAAACTTTACCCTTGCAGTGGGTTGTTCTTCTTCCCACTCCAAGACTTAACTGCTCGTTTATCCTAGCGGATAATGAAGAAGGTAATATACTTATAATATTCCTTGCTCCCGCAGGTTTCATGTGACTGGTCCCCTGAAGTCTATTCTCTTTGCTGGCAGACCAGTCCCAGCTCTCTGATGTCATGCCATACAATGTAGGACCAGCAGTCCCGCATTGTACGTGAGGATGCTGAGGGTCTGCCCACAACCGTAAAGCGTTAGATAGCAGAGGAGAGCGCTGGCTGTTGGGGTAGTGAGGAATAAAGTAAGTATATCACCTTATTCGCCATCCCTAAAAGTATATTTCCTCTTTCGCAGCCAAATTGGGATAACACCTATTTTATATTTGTTACATGTTCCCATTCACATTGCATAAGCTAAAAAAAATAATTAAAAATGCTTCTTGCAGTTTAAATTGCTTTTACACGGGTTAGGGTTTTAAGAGTTAAAAATTTTTCTTGCTTCCATCTCTTTGCAATGTTAGGAGGGGCTGTGAGAGGTGAGGAGTCTGAGGTGGTTTATCCATTGTAAGATTACAGTCCCAAGTCTTTCCATTAGAACAGACCACTGTGAAAGGGCTAAGAAAAACCTGGAATCAGCCATCTTGTCTGCTTTAACAAAACAACTAAAAGGTAAGAAATATTTTTCAATATGCTGTGTGAACAGGAACACATAACGGACATAAAGAGGGGTTTTCTCAAATTTTGCTGAAGTGGAAATACACTTTAAGCAAAGAAGCAGGTAAACGTTGCAGTGGGGAGGGGGAGCCACTGCAAATATAAAGGTTTTCCTTCCCAGAGTCGCTTTTTTACTGAAGGTCCGCTTTAAAGCACAGGAACCCTTAAGTGGAGTTTTGATGTATATGTCTCAAAAACTGTACCCACGTGGTGAGAATCTGATTTGACTTTATCTGGGTGAAAAGGTAGAGTTGCACTTTAATGAAAGATCATATTGATAAACAGAAGTTTATGGTAACAATAAGATAATGAAAACAAATTAACAACCATTCAAGTCATGTTTGTTTTAATGCAATTTTTGACATTATATATAAATGTTATGTACAACACCTTATAATTTCAAAACACTTTAGACTACATCTGGCTTAAAACCGGACTTAACACTGTTTTCTGTGTGCTACACACAACATAAGGTCCCCGATGGAAAATGAAAAATGTTAAGACTTAAAATAATGTGAATATGGCAAAGCTTCACATAGTTTTTTTTGAGTGTTTAAGAACAAAACACATGTACCATTTAAACGGTATTTTATGTATTATGTTCCTTTTTTAGGCAAATAGAAGGCCCATAAACAAGCAGTGTACAATGGATTACATGTCTTCTCCACTAGTTAATAAAAGGCTGACAAATTTTCTAACACTCCTTCCACTGTATTCAAAACTATAAACAAAACAATTTGGCTGGAACTCCACTGTAAGTAAATTAAAACAGGATTTTTGTAATGACTGTAAAATGTATTTCTTAGAGTGTGTTAATGCACACAGCATTCAGTTATTCAAAGACAATTGGGTTATACTGATACCTACAGGAGGAACTGGACACTGGCAAACCAAAAAGGAGTTGTCCAGCTAGGTATAACTCCTCCCACTCCCAGCATGGTTCAGTTTTGTAGAAAAGCAGTAACAGGAGTAGATCACAAACAGTGGGGTGGGACCTGTGTCCCTTAATAAACTCCAGGAAATGCATTTATGGTACGTACATAGGACAATTTTAGGACATAGGGCATAGGACATTCTTGCTCATTGAGGGACACAGGATTCAGTAATTCAGAGACAATTTGAATGTCCAAAAGCAGTCCAACTGAGGGGTGGGCAATAGTGGCAAAACACTAACAGGCCCATATAACAAACAGCAGAATTGGGGGCAGCTTTTAGCACAAAGACCTTATGACCTAAAGAACCTTATGCCTAAGCTAGCATCAGATGAGGCCTGAACATTCACCTGGTAAACCTAAAAGAATGTGTGAACAGAAGACCGGTGTGGCAGTCTTGCAAATATGAGAAAGATGATGATGATATGATGGTTTGTCTGACATACCATGAAATGATGGAGTGAAAAGCTGGTCTGGGATCATCAGGAATGACAAAAAGAGAGTCAGTCTTTCTAATGGAAGCAGTGGCTGAAAGGCAAACCAGCACAGCATGAAATTCTGTACAACCTGATAGTGAAGGGAAATTACCTTTTGATGTACTGGAGTCGAAGAGAAAAAAAGAAAAATCCTGGTTGAGGTGAAAAGCTGAAACCCCATTGGGAAGACCCCAGGCCTCAAACACAACCTTAACCTAGTGTAAGACTAGATAGGGTTCTTTACAGGACAAGACTGTCAGCTCAGATACTCATCTCGCAGAGGTGATGGCAACAAGGAGTGCAATCTTGTGGGGAAGAGCAGAAAGGAGAGTTTATAGAGAGCCAGATTCAAATCCCACAGGAGGTGCAGCCACATGAGGAACACCCTGTACAAAAGTCTTGACCAATGAATGGGAGGCTAGAACCTGAGATTTGCTCCTTGATGGTACTCAGGGCCAAATGCCAACCCAGGGCTTATGTAGAAAGGTCAGGATTCTTCCTGGGATGAAATCTTCTCTCCATGCACCAGGCGGAATAAGCCTTCCATGTGTGATGGCAGACTTTGCGGGAGGTAGGTTTACCATGTATCCCATGTGGGAATTATCGATTCAGAGAGACCAATGCCTCCCAAGACCTGGGCTTTAACAGCCGTGCTGTTAAAACCAGAGATTGTGAAGCAGGATGGTAAATCCGTCCTTGGATAGATCTGGGCAATCTGGAATAGCTGACACGGTATCTGCCAGACGTTTAAGCAGTATCATTTCTTGCCTCCTTGTTTTCTGTGTTGCCACGTGCTAATGCTTCTCTTCTCCTCCTATAATCCTGCACTGCCATTTTGAATAGTAGAAATAATAAGTGGCCAGTTTCTTCTGTGTTTTCTCTGCGGGCACACTGATAACGTTATTGGCATATCTCATACATGTGCTGTACAAGATCTAGCACTGTTTGCTATTGTTTTCACATTGCCCTGGCTATAGCATTGTAAGCAGTATTATATTCTAAAACACTCATATTGCTAAAGCTATGACAATGTATAAATAATAATAATGCCTTTCCCCCCCCAAACAAAGTCTTGTGAGATATTGCAGCGTTCAGAGGAGATCTCCCTGGAAGGCACTGAAAGATTTCATGCAAATGTGTTGGACTTGAATAAAGACATTTAAAGCCTCCAGCACTATAATGGGACAGATGTCCCGTTCTGGTTTTAGAACAGTGAACGAGATGAAGTAAAAACCCTGAACCATTCAATGGCAATAACTCCTCAGCTCAAAAGATATGCAAGAGCAGCATTGAGCTCTGCTAGTCTGCAGAGACACAGGCAGGTTTGACAACATGAAGCTTGGTGAGGTAGAGAACAGACCTCCAGCTTGCAATCCAGGGAAACCACATCTCTTGCCCAAAGATCTGAAATTCATTCTGACCAGAGTCCACAAAGGCCAATTTCCACTTTGGAAAGTCTTGGCATATATTCATGCTAAAGAGGAATTCTCTGCATTTTTGAGATTTAGGAGCCATAGGTTTGTGATTAAACTGGACTCCTGGCTTGGGTTTGGCCTGGGAGGTTTAAGCCCCATCTGCTGCAGCCCAGAAAAAAGCTTGTGCTTGCAGGTATGGCAAAACAAGTGGCACTTTCCCTGCCTCCCCATATACAGTGCTTGATGTCAGAATGGCCAGCCAGTAACTCTGAGCGCTGTTATGCGAGGGTGGTGGGTGCAGATTCCTGCTAAGTACAAAAGAGTTTCTGTAGGCTCAGCCAGTAGATTGGTGAGAAGTAAAGGGCAGGGAAGCTAAGAACAGCATGCTTACAGGGCCTGCTAGAACATGAACCTGTTAGTTTACTTGCTATTGGCAAAGCACAGATTCCCTTTAAAGACCATTGGGTTTATTGAAAATGCAGTGTAAAAAGCATCCAATTATGACAGAATACAAGATGGATTTAAACCGGTTGCTATTATGGGTGCTGTGCCTTCCTTTTCACACTGATTTGTTGATTAAGCCAATATATATATATATTGTAAAAGCTCATGTTCCTTTTGCATTTTCATTTCTGTCTGCATTTAGTTTAGTTCAGGGACTGTAGGATTTCAGTGACAAACTGGTAGCTGCACAATATTGTTATAATGTACATTTTGTAAATATACATGCTGAGCTTGGTCACTTGGCGCTCGCTGAGCGTGTGTCTGGATGGAAGTGTTCTACAAAAGTATCCCAGTACACGCAGTACACTAACATATTACTATACAGGATTTATATAGCGCCAACAGTTTGCGCAGCACTTTACAATATAAGGAAGACATTACAATACAATTCAAGACAAGATGGCAGGGCCCTCCTTACAATCATGTCTTGAATTGTATTGTAATATCTTCCTTATATTGTAAATGCGCAAACTGTTGGCGCTATATAAATCCTGTATAATAACAATAATACGATATATTGTACTGCATATATGCAATGCAACTGGCAGTTATGACGACTTTCACTGAAATAGAAATGTGCCATTAAGTGCTTCTGTAACACCCCATTCCAAATGCACTGTGCATTGCTACTGCTGGCCATGTCTGAAAAGTTAAACAGATACACATTGTTTAACAGCATGATGGTACTACTATGATGGTTGATGTTTTAAAAACAAACAGAACTAATCTGATGAGGTTTTTGAGCCACACACTGGTTTGTAGGTCTGTCGTACCGGTCAGAAAACCTCAATGACACGTTAGCTAGGCACAGTTTTTCAATGTTAAGTACCCATAAAAGTCATACATTGCAAAAGACTATTATCCCGGTGAACCCTGCAGTGGAGACTGTAGTTAAGACTTGCTACAATAATCATAGACAGTAGAATTATACCGGGTGGTTTTCAATTCTGCCTGAACACTGTAGTTATTATTAACAATACAGAAGTGTAAACGTACACTTAGCACATAATGGAGTCTGTGCTGACACACAATGTGGTCTTTAGAGTAACAGATTTCACTGAAATACCTTGCTGTAGAGAAAAGAAACAAGAGGTCATTAAGTGCTTGTAGAAATACATTGTACCGTAGAAAAACAGATTTTTAAACATTATAAGAAAAACGTCATAGAAAAGACATAAATAGAGCGCAGCACTCCATCTGCTCCCACTGATTAGGTCAATGGTACTCAGACTCTCCACAGTATAAAATAACATACAAACATACAAATAATACAAATGTAAACCCTGAAGATTTTCCAGGCAGTGCAAACTCCCAAGGCACTTGAGAATGTATCATGATAATGATATACTGTATATCACTGATAAATAAGACATTACTAGATATCAGAGGTGTCACTGAAGTCGCTCACAGTGACTAAACTGCTGACAAGAGTGCTGGATGTATCGGCTTCACGAGCATCTGGAGAAGAGAGGGAAATGACAGTAATTAATATTATTGATCAGAAGAAACTAAGCATCATATGGATGCGTTACCATAAGCGACTGACAAAAAAAGAAACAGACCCAGGTGCTACAGCAAGGTGCTCTAGACATGCAAACAGAACTACAAAATGAGTATCCCTCTTGTATGATGAGCATGTACACAATCATACAAGAGGATATTAGCTGACAAATTTAACCGGGCCTAAAGTCCTTCCCCTTCCCAGACCGGTTTGCCAGCTTTATCTGCCGTAACCTATAACAACGAGCCTGACTGTCTAATATTTCAGTGTACTTTCACATCTTTCTCAGACCCCATGAGGGCAAATAGATTTCTTCAGATGCACTGTAAACACTTTGGTTGGCACACAAATCCAAAAAGACATCTTTAATATTCAGATACTGCTCATCCTGGACTAAAACAATCTTACTCCACCTCCTCATGTATCACTTGCCCCTCCCTTTTAGATTGTAAGCCCTCACGGGCAGGGCCCTCCTTACCATCTTGTCTTAAATTGTAATGTGACTGTAATGTCTTCCTTATATTGTAAAGCGCTGTGCAAACTATTGGCGCTATATAAATCCTGTATAATAATAATAATAATACTCATATACAAAGCAATCCGTTTTGAAACCTTACATGAATTGAATGGCTTGCAGATAATCTTGAGAATGTGGCTACTGACACAGAAGATGAAGACTGAGCCAGTCTACAAGCTTACAGTGTACTCCTCTGATATACCCTAAGCAGACTACGCTCACGTCAGGTGAAATGAAGATATTTCAAGAGGCAGGCACATTGTAAACAAACCTTTTAGCATCCACATACCTTTGGCTATAAAATGTATATTTACTATATGTTTATATGGCACACCCACTGACCTATGCAGAGGCATAAGCATAGTAAAAGCAACACAAGAACATTTCATAAAATGTAATAATCAAAGACTGGGATCCACTTCCATCTTCCATCTACACAAGCTGATGTCAAAAGCAACACGCAGAGGTTTGTTTAAACCAACCTCTTGTCTAATCAATTACAATTGGTATTGCCACCTACAGATACCATATACATGATCTAATTATGTTTTTGAATATGTTGAGAACAAAAAAATTTTTTTGAATAGTAATTATGTATTTATGTTAGATTAACCACCCTAGGTCCCCAGAAGAAGTACATAAGCAAAACGTGTCGGGACAAAGTCCTTGAAAACGCAAGCCGATGTAAAATTACCGGATTGTACAAATATAAGAATGACTAAGATGAACTATGAACAATATACATGGTGTTCTACTGTGTGTGTGTTTTTTTTTACTATATGTACTTTGGCTGCATAACAAAGAAGTATGGGGTTTGGATTTCACTAAGGGTTTAATCTGCATGATACTAAATAAATGATATGTTTTGTAACACCTCTTTAAACCCCATGTTCTATAGTGTGTGCACTAACCAATTATAAGTTGGTAATTAATAAAACATTAAGAGTGTTATTCACTAAAGAGCCAAAGGATTTAGCAGAACGTTCAGCTAATCCTTCGCCTCGCTTCGGCTGCAGAAACCCTTCGCTTCCCCTGAACTGAAGGGCTGCTGTACAGGCTATTCTCAAAAAAAAAAGAACCCCCCTTTCCTGCCCTCCAGGCCACTGCTCGGTTTAAGGGTCTGGTTTGAAATTTCAGGGGGGACCCCAATTATTATTTTTTTAGGGCGTTGGGTCTCCCTTAAATTTCCTACCAGACCTAAAGAGTCTGGTATGAATTTGTAAGGGAACCCCACACTTTTTATTTTTTTGGATATCAGGGGTCCCCCCTAACATTCCTACTAGAGCTAAAGGGTGTGGTATTAATTAGAATGGGGACCCCGTGCTGTTTTTTCTTTTTTTTTGGTTTATATTGATATTTTTCATTCTGCTTCACTACCTGTGAGGTAGCGAAGCAGAATGACCGGGCCAAATGCTGAGCATTCGGCACTTCATTCTCTGCTGTTCAGCCCCTTGCAGAATAGAGGTGAACATCAGGGACTGAACTGCCGAACGTTCACCTCAGCTGATCCAGATGTTGCATCGGCTGAGGCGAACCGGCTCTTTCCTTCGGTTCAGCCGGGCGTGCTGAGGCCGTTTGGCCGAGCCGAATGCAGCCGATGTACGGCTAAGAATAGCTGTAAAAGGCTTCAGAGAATAACTGAAGAGGCTTCAGCTCCCTTCACTTTGGCTTAGTTATTCAGTCGGATGCCTTTGGCAGCTTAGTGGATAACCCCCTAGAAATGTGCTTTCATTTTTAGCAAGCTTAGCACTTAGGCTTCAATCAGAAGTCTGAAGTACAGAAGAAGCATGGTCACAGTGACAGGCGCTTCTCTGCGGGTCCTGGAAGTGGTGGAAAGGTATCCTTCTAAAGCTCCCGATTGTGACTAAACTAAAGCAGCATAATCTTCACAGTAGATATGTCTGTGAAGGTTCTCATTCATCCAGGTCATGGTAATGGTACCATGACCTTCACAGTAGAGCATAGCCAGCTGACTGTACTACAGAAGGAGCGGGGTTTAAATCTATAGGAAATTACGTTGAAACCAAGTGAAAACAGAATTAAATGATATATTAAAGTGCAGGAAATGTCTGTGTAGAATAAAAGCACACACAAACCACACTGTGGAACTCTTTATGAAGATAGCTAAATATATCTTAGAACAAGTAAGTTATTATATTTCAGTAATACCTGCTTTATATGGTTTTATAACACCACCAGCATGTTTAACAGAAGCCGTCTGAACCTCCTTCCTGTTGACTGCGGTCTCCTGGCGTTTTTGCACAGATCGTGGTACTTCATAAGGTTCATCCTCTAAATATGAACTGTCTAATTCGGTGTCATCAATGTCAGTAAGCTAAAAACAAAATATACTAATTAAAACAAATTGAAATGACACATTTCTAAGACATTTAATGTTAGAACCAATACTTAGGCTGTTATATCTGTATACATAGTTGTACATAAACATACAATGCTGCCACTAGTATCTGAGGTGTTCTCTGCAATATTGCTCCACCCCAGAAAATGACTTGTAAATGGGACCTGGGTGACTGGGTAACAACTGCTAGGATTATAGAAGACACAATTTGATATTAGTGGAAGATACAATTAAAATTAAAATTGCATTCCTGTTTCAGATACCACAGACAGATGCCACAGACTGCTTTTAAGTCTTCAGAACTTTAAGTAATAGTCAAGGATATATTTAAAGTGACACTACACTAAGGAGTTAAATCTTAAAAACGTATTCAAGTACCTTAACTATTAAGAAAAATGTATCGTATTTGTGTATCACTCAGCTGTCATTCATCAAATCATCTCTGAATTGGTGCTGACACTGTCCTTCCTTCTGGAAGGTGGCTACTTTTGTTCCTCGTGGTCCCTGTGTGTGTTGTAAAGTAGTCACCGCTCCAATCGCACTCCTGTGATGGACTACAATCTCAGTACAAATTACTAAAATAAACATGAGATTTTAGTCCACCATGGGGAACAAAAGTATGCACCCTCCAGAAGGAAGGACAGTGTCAGCATGAATTCTGAGATGATATGAAGATCTACAGCCGAGTGACATACAAAACAGATACATTTTTGTTAATAGTTAGGGTACTTGAATGCATTTTTAAGATGTAACTCCTGGGCTTAGTGTCACTTTAAGAATTATTTCACCACAGTAGATTTACACCAATAAAATATCCTGTACATAATAAAAATACCCTGACAGAACATATGTATGAGATATTTTGGAAGTGTAATATATATTACATCGAAAAATTGGGAGAAATGTCCCCTGATGCAGCGCTAACACTGAGGTGAGGGTGTGTGAGTGTGGGTTAAAGTACTTGGTGTGCGGCTCCTTAGAAATGCGGACCGGGGTGTCCGACGTTTGCCTTTTAGGAAAACAAGAAGTACAGAAGCGCCACTACCAAGTGGTGACTTAGCAAAAACAAATAAGGGAATCAGACTTACCAAAGAGTGGGTACTGGCGCGTTATCAACGGCGAGGTGTGGATGGATGGGAGTCCACGGTTGCTGAGAGTGATGGGCACTCAAAGTTGTGTGTGGGCAGATGCGGGTGTGAAAGTTGTTGGGGCTGAGAAGGGTTCAGTGTCAGTGGGAACCTGGGTCAGATGTTGAGTGTGGCAGGGATCTGAGATGGGGGGGGGGGGCGAGGCAGAGAGTGGCAGGCACGGTGGAGACCGGGTTGGTGGATGTTTTAACGATCTGTGAGAGATGTAACCAGGGTCATGAGCGGTGTAGGACTGCCTGTCTGGAAGGTGCTGGCCGCTGGGAGAGGCCAGTTGATGTGAGCCTGAACACTGCGTACAGGAGGGGCGGGGCCTGTATCGCCCGCTGACGAGCGGCTAGTGCTGGCAAGCGGCGAGTGTCTGGGGGAAGCCGGTGGTTAGGGTGATTGCCTGGAGGTGGATGCTGAGGTCGGGAAGCCAATGAGACAATGAGAGGAGTGAGACTACACTGCTCGAGGGCACGAGCAGGGAGCCCGGAACAGCGAGCGGTGTGTCTGTGGTGGTAGAGCGGGTGAGAGCGAGAAACGGAGGTGTAAGGAGTGACAATGTCAAAGCTGGCTACGTGTTTCGAAGAGCTGATCTTCTTTCTCAAGCCAAAGAGTGAGTGCCCATCACTCTCAGCATCCGTGGACCTCCATCCATCCACACCTCGCCGTTGATAACGCACCAGTACCCACTCTTTGGTAAGTCTGATTCCATTATTTGTTTTTGCCAAGTCACCACTTGGTAGTGGCGCTTCTGTACTTCTTGTTTTCCTAATATATATTGCATGTATTTTATATTTTTGCTAATTAAAATAAAGCAAGCATCTCTTTTTTCACTGACATCTGACAGAGGGTAGCACAGTTAACACATGACCAAGAATGACACTGATTGGCCACAGCTACAGGATCACAGCTGTTTAATGACACCATAATTATAAGGTTCGAGTACACCCAAACATACTGTATATGCTTCTGGTCATAAATATGTATGATTCTTCAAGAGGTATATCTGTCATGGGAAGTCGTTTATCTAAAATGATTGTTATCCTTTCCATAATAAACCGCCTCTGAACACTAATTCTATTTGCTCAGGTATGTCACCATTCTGTATCCAACACGCACATAACATGAAAAGTCAGAGTTTTCGTTTAGTCTTAAGTGCTCACCTTAAGCTCCATAACTGGGTCTTTTTTTACAAATGTCCGGGGTACATCTCCAGCACCTGGTTTGAGATTGGCTGAACCTGATGACTGCTGGACTAGTTCTTTTACTTGTGTTGCTAGAAGATATTAGAAATACTTTTGAGTGGAAGTGAAGCTTATAAACCAAATGTAGATGAACAAGAAAAGATTTAAACAGCAAGAATGCCAGAGGTAGAGAAAACAAAATTAGAATAGAACTGAAGCCAAAACGTTTTCTTTGTTTTTGGAGAGAGTAAGGGAGGGTTATAACCTCTGGCAGCTTTTTGTGCCATCTGTATCCCATTGGGGAGATTTCCCTTCACTTCCTGTCATATAGCCACAATAAAAAAGTGAGAGAAAATCCCCCCAAAGTGACTAGAGTCCTCATTGGAAGGTTTTTCCTCTATTTCCGTTCTGATGACCACCCAAAATTTTTGATTTTCTTTCACTTTCAGTGATAATGGTCACCAGGACACATAGAGAGGATGCATCTTCTTCCTAACAGGGATACAGACAGCAATAGAAATCTGACAGACATCCAGCCCCTCTCCACTCTATACAAAAAAAAAGTTCTGGCTTCAGCTGCACTTTAAATCATGAACACAAAAAAACAAGGGTCCTACCAGTTCAGATTGTCTTTAGTTCTTACATCGAACAAGGCATGCCGTAAGATAGACATTCTTCTGACAGCATGCCTTCTTTTTGCATCTGATTTCTTCATGTACATGTTTTCTGTCTTAGAATGAAAGGCATGTGCTGTATAGTTGTCATCATCATCGATGCAACTATTTTCTAGTACAAGTAGTTTTCAGCAAAGGGCTCCCAGCAATAAGTTACAAAAACTGCAACTACCCAGCAGTAATTGAGTATCCCCTATACTAAAACACCCCAAAGCTGGCCACACACCTTTAGATTATCTGCAGATTTTCTATGGTCAGATGGAAAAAGTGCAACAGATTCCTCCATCTACGCTACACTGTGTGGATGGAGGAATCTCCCGCTGGGTCAAACTTCAGTATCTTGCTAGTCGGCCCCACTGGCTCTCTAAATACCTGAACAATACCTGCATGGAATCAGATTGTTCAGGTATTTTGAGAGCCAGTGGGGTCGACTAGCAAGATACAGAAGCTTGGCCCAGAGGGAGATTCCTCCATCCACACAGTGTAGCGTAGATGGAGGAATCTGTTGCACTTTTTTCATCTGACCACAGAAAATCTGCAGATAATCTATAGGTGTATGGCCAACTTTAGGGTTATGGACATGAATATTTAACACCTGCCCTTACTCCTAAAAAAGGCTGTCAACATTTAACCCCCCGTCAACATTTACCCCTAAAAAGGCTGTCAACATTTATCCCTAAAGTAAACCGTTGACAATTAACCACAAGACTTAACCCATAAAACGCTGGGCCTAACATTAACCTAATCACTTAGAACCTTAAAGTTCTATACAGAAAACATGCAGCACTGGGATCTTGTGCCTGTGTTACTTGGTTATTATATAGAATTTTTTTTTAATAAACAGGCGCATAGCAGAAATGTAGAAATTGCTCTGGTCCATAGTGGGTGTACAGGTGTGAGAGCTTAACTGGTTAAACAGTATGAGTTGGTGTTGCATGTCTTACCTCTCGCTGGTTTAGGTGGAGCTTGGAATAGGCCATTGCTTCTATAGGCTGGCTGAGGCCTAACTTCTTCCAACAAACTCCCATCTGATTCACTTTCATTGTCCACAAACCCAACGTTATATTTACTGTTAGTTCTCAAAGAGTCAGGCCGTTTGTAAGATGGCAAAGGCATGTCGCTAGATTCAGACTCATCATCAGAACTGAATGGAGGTGTCCTGAAATTACATATAATGTTAGAGAAGAATATGGTAGGAAAAGGGAAAATGTCATTTCACAATCCTGCTCTAAAACCCTGGAGATATTGTCATGCCATTTCATACACTTTTTCTAGCTTACCAAGGCAAATGAGTACACAGGAATGCACCTTCCTGTGTATACTGTAACATGTACTCAACATAAAATCCTTTTCTCTGCATTCATTGATGGACACAGCAGAGATCTTTACATCTCAAGATCTTTGTGTTGTCCTTCAATGAATAGAAGAGACATTTCAATACAAAACAGTACAATTTGATATATACATTAACAGAAACATACACCTTACATAAGGATGAGCAGCATGAGGGCTACTGGTAGATTAACTAGCCCTAGAATGTGAGTGTAATGGGAATGTGACACAGTAAACCCCTTCAGGGTCAGAGATTGGTGTGAATATTTCTATGTACATTCCATCCCATGTAAACCCTTGTAGAATAAAATGGTGCCATGTAAATACAGAAAAAGTAAACTGCTTCCCACTAAATAGGTCATTTCATGGCAATAGTGGACAATCATTAAGAGGTTAACAGGAGTGTGTACAAATCCTAAGCAGTGACCAACCAGATACTCTTTGTCTGTATATGAGCTATTCTCCGCTCCAAGAACTGTCCCCAGTATTTATATCAACCTGTAAGATGATAACTTCATGCACACGTAGAAGTAGAAATAAAACTATACAGTTCTAATACAGTTTAATAGACATCCAGCTGCTTGCTGCTTTTCTATGCTCATATCTTATATCTTGTATCTTGTAGGAGGTCCAGTAATACACAAAGTAAAAAACACAAATACAGAAAAAGATAAAATGGTTCCTTACGTAATGCTCGATGGTTTGGTAACAGAAATTTCTTTTGAGGAAACCAACTTAACCCTAAAAGAACAAAAACAAAATAAAAACAATTATGATTTAAACAGTGAATGAATACACCAATAAACTGTGTCCATTTCTGGTAGCTACATTAAAGCTGAACTCCGGGCACAAAAATGTTTATTTAAATATATTCCTCAATAGCCACAAAGATTATAACTCTACTTTGTGTGCACCAAATGGCTTTGCAATCCCGGTAATTACCTTGTAAAATTAGCAGTGATATCACTATTGTGCTGCACAAAACCAGTACATTGAGCAGAGCTGTGGGAGGCACCCCGTAGGCCCCACCCAATACAGACTGCCTGCAGAAAACTACATGTAGGAGGATACAAGACCAGTCACCCTGCACAACCAGAGAGATCAGTGCTTGTCTTTATTACAGGAGCTCCTGGCACAGTTTCACACTGGATCACTGCACAGATCTGGAAGAAATTAAGGAACCTGGCCTTGGGGCAGCAGGGAGAGTAAATCCGTTCTTGTGCATATGCACTAATAAAGACATTCTGATCATATTCTAGTCGTGCCACAATTAATTGTAACTTTCTGGTTGATATGTGGTGTTAACACTTAGTATAGGATATACCCAGGGGCTCTACCAAAAGAAGTATGTAATGACATCACTACATAATACCACTGAGAGAACACTTGGAAGTGTTCGATTGGCTATATAACCATAGTGGGAAATCAAAGACATTACATCTGTCATACCCCCAATGGTCAGAATGATCTCCTTTCATTACAGAAACCTCCTCATGCTTTAGCAAGGTATTTCTGAATGTTTCCTTCACACGATGTGACTTACTTTGGTGTAGAACTCTTTATAGGAACCGGATATCTTGGTTCGGCGTGTAGTTCTTCTTGAGAAGATTTTACTATTGATGTTTTTGGTTTCCGCTGTCTAAGTGGTGAAAAAGATGATGTGCTTCCCCAAGTTAAAGATTTAGCTGTTAACACAAGAAAAAAAAAGCCAACACAAAGTTAAGCAAATAAAATTGTGATGTGTGTTATTACCACTTGCAGCAAGGGCACAACGTTCCTGGTGTGAGAACAAATAAAAAATCTGCAGGTCCCCTAAGAATTATTAACCCTTTCATGACCAAAGGTCATTGAGGTGTGGATGCCAGGCCAAATTTAGCATTGTCAGAATGCATCAGTATCTTAAATATACCTAATCCGCCTACCCACATTATTTTTTATATTTTTTAAGGACATATAAGACTTTTATTTGGTACAATATTTAATAAATACCTTGCTCAGATGTATAATTATCTGTTTTTTGAACTGGTAATTCATTTTTCCTCTGTGCAAAGTGAATGCACGCAGGAAGAAATACATTGACAGCCGCAGTCTGCAAGTTTTGTACGCTAACAAACCACATGTGATCACCTCCATAGTAAAAACAATCCCGCCACACACTGTGGACCAAGGAAGGGACTGAGCCAAGTTGTTCAAGTCTGAATAAAGGAGTTTTTCAGCATGACTAGAGGTGTGCGGCTGGATTCTTCTTACTGTGGAGGTGTGTACATTAGAGTGTGGACGAGGTCAGCCAGCGGACACTAGTTTTTCTTTCTTGCTGTGTGACTGTGAAGGAACGGTGTTGCAATATGTGTCACTGAGAGTATGGTGTCACACCTAGAAGAATGCGCAATTGTGCTTTCCTTACTGTGAAAGGAAATGTTGTTTATTTTACCCTTAGTACGGGGTACGAAGGAATATTAATCTACAAATTGTAACCACAAACTGATGACAAATTCAAAGTGAATGCACGCAGGAAGAAATACATTGACAGCCGCAGTCTGCAAGTTTTGTACGCTAACAAACCACATGTGATCACCTCCATAGTAAAAACAATCCCGCCACACACTGTGGACCAAGGAAGGGACTGAGCCAAGTTGTTCAAGTCTGAATAAAGGAGTTTTTCAGCATGACTAGAGGTGTGCGGCTGGATTCTTCTTACTGTGGAGGTGTGTACATTAGAGTGTGGACGAGGTCAGCCAGCGGACACTAGTTTTTCTTTCTTGCTGTGTGACTGTGAAGGAACGGTGTTGCAATATGTGTCACTGAGAGTATGGTGTCACACCTAGAAGAATGCGCAATTGTGCTTTCCTTACTGTGAAAGGAAATGTAGATTATTGTCCCTTAGTACGGGGTACGAAGGAATGTTAATCTACAAATTGTAACCACAAACTGATGACAAAACTATGCCTCTAAACTAAAGCCACCCTTTCATCTACCCTAACATTTAGCACCTCATCTAACCCCCAAAACCTTGCCTTAACTATGAACTTCTTATGTCTATGAATTTAACCTCACCTTATATGTTTTCTAAATCACCTAACACACTCTATGAGCATAATAAATGCAGAGAACCAGGCTTAACGCTTCACTGACACTGAAGTACTGCGAAGTATAGAGAAATGTCAGAAGCTTTTGAAGGGGATCTATTTTTAGTTGTTGTTGGTGTCCTGTTGGTTATTTTTGTTCCACGGGCTGCCTGGTGATTCCCTATATTTGTAATGAACTATATTAAAGTGCCCCTTCAGTACATCCCATGTGTAAATGTACAAGCCGTCAGGGGAAACCACAGCATTCGGTGGGTTGAATATTTGCAGTGGCCGGGGAGTAGCAAAGCAAAATTTCACTGGGAAGATGTGGTTTACCAACCAATACAATGTCTCCAAAAAAAGTTACTGTAAAAGTTGCCAGCGTGCTTTTTTTCAGCTCTCAACCAAACTTTCAAGCCTTCAAAAGGCTGGTGTCATACAGTAGCTGATCACACGTGCAGCACTAAGGAAACTGCAATCTGAAGAGAGGCTTCCTTGGCTGTAAGGAATAGAAGGTTGTAGTTCCGCTTTCAGTATATTCACACTTCCTTTATGCGGTATGCTTTCTTTCTACAAGTGACCGTGTGCTGACATGACCATTGTAAGCTATCTCTGATATGTTCTTTACATATAGTTCTGTCGGTAAGCTGTAATAACAATAGTGATGTGTTTACTCAGAACAAACATCAAACAGTTTTGCACCCCCAGATTGGGATAAAATACTCTCCATATCATACCATCAGTAAAAGGCTGGCTTGTAGAAGCACATTTGAAAGATGAAGATAACTGCTCCTCTGCTTTTTGAGTCACGTGCTTTGAAAACTTTTCATAGATTTTCTGGAGCCCTGGAAATGTTTTCTCTTTCATGTGTCTGTTACTGTTCCTTGTATCCATTAATTTTTGGAACTTGTCACTGGGGATCCCACGCACACCCTATCAAGAACAACATGTGTTATTCATCTCTACCACAATACAACTGTAAGTAGCATTAAAGGGAACCTGTCACACACAAAACGGTTCTTGGATATGCAGCAGTTCACTTATTAGAGAAAGTAACATTTCCACTGCATCCGTCAATGTCCACGTTATGACATACATAATATGAAGTTGCAATATTAAATCATTGCCTGCAGTGTCCAATATTTTACTATATACCGCACTTCTAAAGTTCTTTCTGCAAAAGTGTCAGAGATTTTACTACAATTCACCTAAAGCAGCTGATTGGCGATTACTCGGCATTAACTTAAATATTAAAAACAACAATTCTATTTTGCTACTATTTGCTGTATAACATCTTATATGTGACAGATTCATGTTAAACATGCATAAACCAAATCTGTACTATACTAACTAGGTGCGGAAACTGCCATATTCTCGTATTCATTCTGTGATACAAGCTTACCACTTTAAATCCGAGGACTTCCAACTTCTCTTCTAGATCTTGTTCAATGACCTTCCGAATGGCTTTCTTTAACGAATGGTCATTCTTCACCTCGTGTCTCACATGGTACTTGATGGTGCCTTGTCCGTCGGCTTCCAAGTCTGTAATCATATGGGAACATAAAGTCTTCCTATACTGTACTAAACTGAAAGAAACCAGGTAATGCTACATCCTTGAACTATGCACTACAATAAAGTGTAGCTATGGATAAAATAAAAATGGCATATATGAGGACGTCTGTCATTAGTATTTACATGGCAGGTTTTGTTTTTCTCACTCCTCCCTGTAAATTATTTGTTTTACCTGTTGATCCTTCCAGGAGATCTGTTATGTTTCCACTTACTGTCAAATGCTGTTCATTCTGCAGTGAAATGGCACAGAAGTGTTGTTACCCTGTGGGACAGGGTAGTCTTGGATGGACACAGTCTTAAATAGACTTATAGTGGACCTTTACCCCCTTCAACTAAAAATTAGTATGCACCTCTGCATACTGATATACAATCATCTTACATCCATTAGATAAACAAACATTTACTGTTTTTCCACTTCCTGGTTGAACGAGGCACTCATGATGTAGCCCTGGCCTCACAGATGCATCCTGGGAAGGTTACATGACCAGTGACTTCCTTAGAAAGCTCATCAATAAACTGCATAATCTCTCAAGATCTCAGGGAAAAGCATTTTCCCCCTCAGATGATGTGCACTGTCACATGTTCCAGAAGGCAGAGCTAGACTTCCAGGAAGTAAAGGAAGATGAATGTATCTACCCTTGGTGGAAATGGCCACAATGAGAAGAATGGGGGGGATAATGCATGCAAAGAAGAAAAATCCTGCAATTATTTATACATATCTGTTTGTAGATTGCCATTACTAAACATGTTTAACAGTTACAAACTGCCTGTAACTGCCAATATTTTTAGACAGATTGGTCTGTTACAGGAAGTGGAAAGTCAACAAATCTACTGGTAGGATTAACAAGTAATAAAACTATCTTTCAGGGGGACTCAGAAAAAAAACAAAAATTCTGTATTAATTCCACTGACAGACGGCATTATGTCATTTTCTCCAATGGAAACCAAAATCAGCCATTATTTTCAGTCTGAATAATAATTGTCCCAACAGCAGGATCAGCGGGTAAAAGCTGAATGACCGTATGATACACAACAAACAGACCACCATACATATGCCGCATGCATACATATTACAACACATACTAGCACAGATCATGAGGTGTTTCATGCTACTTAATATGTCATTACATCAAAGCTACAGCAGATCTCTGAAATCATGGGGACTACTCTGTCTGAGGAACTGAGACCCGTGACTGCCTCCAACACTGTACCTGTGCAGATGCCCAGCGACTCTGCTAATCTGCTTGCTGAAATTCAGGAGAAGGAGACCAGTACTTCTAAAGCTGCCCATACACCTTACAATTATCTGCAGATTTTCTGTGGTCAGATGGAAAAAGTGCAACAGATTCCTCCATCTACACTAAAGTGTGGAGGGATCTGCACCTGGGCCAAGCTTCAGTATCTTGCTAGTCGGCCCCCTGGCTCCCAAAATACATGAACGATCTGATTGGATGTAGGCATTGTTCAGGTGTTTTGACAGCCAGTGGGGCCGACTAGCAAGATACTGAAGCTTGGCCCAGTGGATGATTCCTCTATCCACGCAGTTTAGGTTGGATGGAGGAATCTGTTGCACTTTTTCCAGCTGACCACAGAAAATCTGCAGATAATTGTAAGGTGTATGGCCAGCTTAAGTGTGATCCCAGAGAAGACGGTACAACATCAGCATGGCCAAGTAACACCAGCAGTTAAGTGAGAGCTTATATATCTATTATAATATAAAAAGAAACATAACAAAAAACTAATTTTATTGCTGTAATGCAAATATAAGAAACTGAAAAAAGAAAGATGAAAATACAATACAAAATCTAACAACTTAAATAAAACAAAAAAAATAAAATCAATCCAACTGGATGGTGAAATAAAAATGAAATTGTTATTGCTGTGCGACAACACAAACTGCTCATTCCAACCAGAATGCAGCACATGTGTTGCTGCACAAAGCAATGGGCAATCAATTCAGCATGAATGGGATGTAAAGCACCTTCACGCATGAAAGAAATAGACCCCACATCATTTTCTGCAGCACAGTAGCACAGCTGCACTAGAGACGAACTTTGGGATTCCATGCAATGAATGCATGGTGCGATCAGTGAGAGGGTCCAAATAGTTATTTTAAACACTTTAATAAATAAAGCCCAGTGACTCGGATCAAGCTGCATACATACTGCTATACTAGGAGTAAGCAAATGCCAGCCCTCCAGCTGTGGTTAAAAAAAAACTACAACTCCCATTATGCATCTGCCTCTGCGAGTCTTGCTTGTGGCTGTCAGAGTCTTGCAATGGCTTATGGGATATAGTTATAGTTATAGTTGCACCACAGCTGGAGAGCTAGATTTTGTCTACCCCTGCTATATGCAGTAAGGTTGATTTACTAAACAAATAGAGACTGCTCACAAGTGAATGTTCACCATGACTGGTAAATAAGGAGAGCCTATCTTCACTATAATCATACAATCATATAAGGAGAAAGTCCTTTTTTTTTTAAATCCCCTTACACATGATTGGATATTCAAACAGCTTCACCTTATTTACCAACTTCAAGGAACAGACACGTTCTTAGGAGAATATTTACTGTGCAGAGTGAACAGCCTCTACTCCTTTTGTAAATCATCCCGAAAATGCGCAGCAAGTTTTACATTCATTTGAATACAGCTGACAGGAAACAACATGAAAGCCAGCCAATACAGCTGTTCCCCTATAAATGTTTATGGAACAAATGTCAGCTCTCATAAACACTGATGAAGCAATCTGGAGCGTCAGCAGCATTGTTTGGCTTTATTGATGGAATGATTTGTACAATGCTTAGATTGTGCTGCCATCTACAGGACAAACACAGCAAAGACCAGGCTTGTTTAACAAGGCAAGGAGCATTCAGGAAAGTCTATACAGTATATTGAACATGTTATTTTCACTGTCTATAGCCTCCTAAACCGTGAAACTAGGAACTAGGATATACTGAAAATCATACTCGGCTTATTTATAAGCTAGAACGCTACCTTTAGATACATGTTTGTATTAAGGCATTCAGCTCATCATCAGGATAACGTTAATCCACTTACCACCCCCAACCCCCCAGAACACCCCAACTGATCGCTGGATTAAAAAAAAACCTCATCCCATCGCAGCATGTCTGCGACAAGACACCTGTCTGGGACTGGCCAGTGAGGGTCCATCTGCAATAAGGAGTCAGTGGTCCCCCAAACTTAGAAACAACGCCAGCAAAGGGCTTGGATGGTGGACTTGGGAGAGTATAACTTGCTTTACCAGGTAACTGCCTTTATGTGTCTTAATATGTTTTTAGCTTGTTATAAGAAATAAAGAAGGTTCTATATTTATACTTCACATCTGTAGCTATATGTATTTTGTGGCACCTTGAAAAAAAAACCCAGGCTCAATTGCAGCCAATCCTTGCTTGTATTTATCAGGTTCCTTAACTCCTTCTCCTCCTTATCTTTAAAGGAAAGCATTACTGAGGAATCATGAATGCTTGCCAATGCTGACCTCTCCTTCTGAAAATGCTAGTTACCTGGCCATGCTAATTCAGCCATTTCCTGATCTGCATGCTTGCTTAGGGTTAGTGACTCAGACAGTATTGAAGACAGAGGCAGTCAGCCATCTTGTACCCTCGGGAGGTCAGCAAAGGCAGCCCCTGGATTATAAGCATCCTTAAACCCCTTTACCTGAGTACCATTATCTCTTACACCCATTCCTGCAAAACAACTATAGAAAAAAAGAAAACCTAACCAGCATGCAAAACAAAAAGAAGTATGACAGCACAGCACATGATGACTGAAAGATGAGGGACACCATGATGGGTAATGTGTTTACCTTTATCTTCTGCAAGCTCCTGAATAGTCTCCAATATATGTGCCTGCTCTGACACTGATCACAAGGGGACATAATGACCAGAGGACAGTGTTTAAAAAAGGAGGGCATTATCTACTATACACTACTCTGAATCATGTCCATGAGCCGTCTAAAAAGCAGTTTAGATGTAGCAGCGCTTTATATAGTTGTACATTTACATCAGTCCTTGCACTCAAGAAGCTTACAATCTAAGGTCCCTATATCACATGCATACATACATACATACATAGAGGGCCGATTTAAACAGGAGCCAATTACCCTTCCAGCATGTCTTTGGATTGTGGGAGGGAACCGGAGTACCCTGAGGAAACCCACGCAAGCACAGGGAGAACATGCTAACTCCATGCAGATAGTGTCCTGGCTGGGATTTTTGTACTGGGAGCCGCCAGTGCTGCAAGGCAGAAGTACTAACCACTACGCCACTGTGCTGCCCCAATTTAGTTTTAAACAAACATTTAACATTTCGTTTTGGGTAGACATTTAGCAAACTTCTTGCTTGTGAAATGCCTGCTTAATGCTACAGCCAGCATTCTTCTTAAGACCTGCATGTCACAACCCCTAACTGGACCTGACGAGACCTCAAAATGAATCTATGATTATACTAATATGGGTCATTGCTGACTTCTGTTCTTTTCCTCACTACTAAGTGAGTTATTGAGCTGAAACAAACATGTACTGTACATATCAAACTCCTGCTTGTCCCAGGTCATTGGCGAAGACAGAAAAAGGATGACTGGCCCTGAAATATGCATCTTCGAAAATCCACAACCATGGTGGCCTCCATATTTCTATCACAACTCTTAAAGCTGTTCCCAAAGGCAGAAAGAGGGCAAAGTAATGGTCACCAGTACTGCCTGTGGATTCTATGCAGCTCATCTGTCCCCATTACTGACTTACTATGCTATGCCATGTGTTGCACTGTTTCTCTGACTGGTTGGGGCCATCTTGGTAGAGGCAGGGCTTTGCTTCCTCATGTCAGAGCTTCCAAGCAGGGATAACAGTGAACCGCACAGTAGTGACATAATCAAATGTCACCATAAATCTCCTAAGACTAGCAGCGCAGCCTTAAATATACAGATATGAAACTGTAAGCACTGGAGTAACTAAGCACCTTCACATACTAGAAAGTGCACTGCTATTCTTCTGCAGGAATTCCACACAAAGGGTGTATTTTATGGGTACTGCTTAGGCACAATTAAGATTTCTAAATGTTCCCTCTAACACAGCAAATCTTCATTTTCTGAAGATGTTTACATTCTTCATAAATGCTTGCTGTTGATAATGCTCTTTAGACTAGCATTTAAAAGCCAATGCCTGTGTGCACTGGGCCCTCACATATAGATCTGTACTGGGGACCTGCAATCGGAATGAAGAAATCAGCAACACCCTGCTGAATATACCTTGTCAAAGGAATACATTCTGGCACGGAACTGTCTTATATGTCATATAAACTTTTAGGCCAAACATAAGACTGTGCAGACCATAAAAAACAACTATTTAATCTGGTCCACACTCAGGCAGCAGGATCTTCAGCTATATTAATATATTTGAACAATTCTAGACTGATATTTCAGATGCCACTAGTAAATTGAATCACCTAATAGCTTTCAGAGCCTCCAATGATAACATTAAACCAAACTATTTACAGCCATTTTCCACAAGATCACAGTGAACATGCCACTTGATTGCAGCTTCATGTCCCACTTATGTTCATTTTATACAAAGAAGAATACATCTTGGGAGAGTAATGTCAACACTTGTTTCTGTAATGGCTACGGTAGATGGGTGTAACTGGAAATTCTGGTGTGGGCATGTCACCACTGGATCAATGGATACGAATTCAGCAAGTGCAATATGGCGTTTGTCTTAGTCAGGGGAACCAATCTCTAATATCAAATATAAACCTGCTCAACGGAAAATGACACCAATCCCCCTTTGTTTAGATGAAGCTTCCCATACACAGGCCAGTCACTGATCACTAGTCAAAGATAGTGTTTTAAAACCTAATTAATCACCATGTGTATGGGAAGCAGCACTGCAATCTCCAAGAACAGCCTTTCTCAACCTTTTCAACCCTTAGGAGCCCTTGAAAAAGGTTTCAGGTCTCAGTCTGCATACAAATTAATAGATCTGCAGCTCAAGGTACAGTTAGCATAAAAGGTAAGCTGTATATATATTTATAAATTAATCAAGCATTTGGTGTGCTTAGCATGCCAAAGCAGATCATTTCTAACACCCCTATGTTCAATAGAATTATGAAATAAAAATGAAACAATATTGAGGAGTGAAGGAAAGCAGACAGTGACAACTGTGATTGTCCCTTGCATTAGTGATCAGTGGAGAAGACACCGTATATTGATGGCCAGTGGAGAAGACACCGTATATTGATGGCCAGTGGAGAAGACACCGTATATTGATGGTCAGTGGAGAAGGAACCATATATTGATGGCCAGTGGAGAAGACACCGTATATTGATGGCCAGTGGAGAAGACACCGTATATTGATGGCCAGTGGAGAAGACACCGTATATTGATGGCCAGTGGAGAAGACACCGTATATTGATGGTCAGTGGAGAAGGAACCATATATTGATGGCCAGTGGAGAAGACAACGTATATTGATGGCCAGTGGAGAAGACACCGTATATTGATGGCCAGTGGAGAAGACACCGTATATTGATGGCCAGTGGAGAAGACACCGTATATTGATGGCCAGTGGAGAAGACACCGTATATTGATGGTCAGTGGAGAAGGCACCATATATTGATGGTCAGTGGAGAAGGCACCATATATTGATGGCCAGTGGAGAAGACACCGTATATTGATGGCCAGTGGAGAACACACCGTATATTGATGGCCAGTGGAGAAGACACCGTATATTGATGGTCAGTGGAGAAGACACCGTATATTGATGGCCAGTGGAGAAGACACCGTATATTGATGGTCAGTGGAGAAGGCACCATATATTGATGGCCAGTGGAGAAGACACCGTATTTTTATGGCCAGTGGAGAAAGGCCTCTTACATCTATGATGAGTGGGGCAAGGGACATAGACAGTTGAGGAAGAATGCCTTTACATTTGTGATTGGTCTAGGGACCCTAGCAACGTCTGGAGGCAACACTGGTTGAGAAAGGCTGTACTAGAATATCAATTAGGCAGGAAATCCAGTTACATAATTACACCATTTGCATTCAGGATCAATACTGAACAGCTCCACACCTGGAAGATCAGGCCGCCTGGGCAATCTGACAAGTGTATGACCAACACATGATCAGGATTCTTGTTAGGCTACAATGCACAAAACAAACTCCATCAGGGGGACAAAAACACAGCCAATTCTTTGGACAATGTGCACAGTAAGATGAAAATGTATCAGCGCAAGGCAAAGCTGGTTAAAACATTGTCACACAAAAAAGTCATCTCTCACCTCTAGTGGAGAAGGCAGTGGCAGAATGTTTTCTTTCAACATTGTGTGATGATTGCCCGGTTGTTGGCTCTACATAAATAGAATAATGAAAAAACAAATGGTAGGGTTACAGTGACACATGTAGGAATATCACTAACACGCATAGGGCAGCTGGGTTACCAAGTGCTGGTTTCAGCAACGTCCTACAAGTCTACTTTCTACAAGTGTAAATTCTTGCACTGGCCCGGGAAATATGTATATGTTTAAATGATGCAAAATATATAAATGTTTCTTTTAGTTTGCTGGGCCCTTAGAGTAAACACACCTCAGCTGAAGTGAAAACCTATAATCTTAACAACCCAACCCCAAAATATAAACCAAGAACACTGAGTTTCAGTTATCAAACTTATAACCCATAAATATTTTTTTACTGGTAAATAAACTAAATCTAACAAAGGAATGAACGCCAGTGACTTGTGCTTTTGACCCATTCTTCTACTGAGAGCAGGGGTAGTGGTTTTAACTCTCTAAACTACAAATCTGCAGTGACATGTCCTAGTGAAAAACATTCAGTTATGGGAATGTAATCCAAGGTCTGTCACATCAAAGTCCAAGGAAGAAATGTATGTAACAACATGACAAAGATGTATCTGTTTCTTATGAGGATTGTGCATGAATGGTATAAATCCCTCTTTTACCAGTTGTGGACACTGGGTATGCTGCATGCACCCAAAACAACGTAATCAAAGTACACAGGGGGTGTGTAGTATACCTTGTACTTCTGCTCCACT